TAGGGTGGCATTTCCTCTAGGGTGTCAACATGGCACATGACATCATCTTTTATGTTCTCTACTTTTGTGCTTCACTGCCATTTTTGACTCCAGCTGTCTTTCCACTTTCCTCTGGTGACATATAGACTAGCTGCAGGAAAGAAGGCTCTCCTTAGTTATAACCCCAGTACCTTTGGGAGCATGTCTGTCCCACTAGCCCCGAGCCCTTGTCCTTCAAGGAGGGATGGTTTTGTGGATATACAGGTGTCATCAAAGGAAATATCATTTGTTGACCGTCAGAGGAAGAAGAGCTAAGTAATGGTGGTTGGAGACTCTCTGGTGAAATATATTTAGGCAGCCATTTGTTGATCTGAATATAACAATAATTGACTTCCCAATGAAGGTTAGTGGATTCATCCAAGGAGTTACCTGATCAATTTAATAAGGTCGTAGTAAGATGGATTTTTGTTTGCAACTTTGACTACATTTGTCTAGGGAGTATGTGGGCCATGTCTATTGATAATTTTATTGAGACATTAAGGGCATTTGCTGGGCACTGGTAATGAATTAATTAGCTTGGCTTTTGTGGCATAAACCTATCTATTTGTGCTGAGCACTAAGAAAAGAGAATCATTTTCAGAAACATATTTTTTTTCTTCTGTCTTTCGATGAAATCCTAAGAGAGATGAACAGAAAAGAGGGCAACAGAGTTAAGGGCAGCCGTGTGACTGTGAACCCACAGCATGTAGCTGTAAAAAGGCTGGGTATACAAATAATACTTTTCCAGAAACCACTAATGATGAAGAAAACATTGTAACTGTACGTACTCTCACACACTAAGCCTGTGAGTAGAGTTCCTGGATCCCTGACTTCTAGGAAACGAGGTTTTAGTCCCCAGTTTCAGAGAAATAACGGCATAATCTCTTGGACTGAGGCTGCAAGTCGGGAGAGAGGTACAACTTGACTGAATAAGTGAAGCTGTTGAATCTCAGACTTATGGAGGAAACTTGATTTCCTCTTGAATTCCATTGCCTTAGGAAAGTGTTAAGTTTCTCAGCAGTTCCTGGTCAGAACCAGACTCCTAAAAGAAGAGGATTTTGCATGTGGCCCTATAATTGGAAAACAATAAGGGAGCGAGTTATCATAGAAGGAAACAAAAGACCTGGAATTTTCCCACCACAACTATTCAGAGCCATGTTAAGTCTGATGGGAAGTGAATTATTTCTTGAGCAATCGTAAGTTGCATGTCCTTCTGGGGGAGGTCCTGCCTCATATGGTAGTACCATAAAGTTGTGGGCCTGTGTGCAGCTCTGTGTTAAAGGTGGGATTCATCAGAATATTAAGGGCTTGCCTCTCTAATTACATCAAGGAGGGGATACAATATACATTGTGAGACTCTGCAAAACAGGCAGATACAAGGTAGACACAAAATAAACCCAAGGTAATTTTGTGGGAAAGCACTGGCAGCTGGAGAATCAGGAAATAGTTGAGCTTTGAAGAAAAATAGAAATTCTAAGTGAAGGGGGTAAGGAAGGAACACATTACAAGGAGGCACGGGAGACATCCTGAGAAGCGAGATGGAATGTTGTCAATAAACATTTATTAAGCACCTATGTGCCAGCCATCACGCTAAGCATGGGGGACACACAAAGAGGGCCTTACAGAGCTCGCTCACAATCTAATGGAATGGTTTGTATACAGAACAGGTCAGCTGGAAGATAGAATGAGTGAAGAGATCTAATGAGTAATAAACCCGGAAAGGTAGGCTAGGATCACATTATGAGAGAATTTGAATGACAAATAGAGGAAATTGCATCATATCCTAGAGGACACAGGGAGCTGCTGGAGCTTTTTAAATTGTAGGAAGTGCATTGTCACATTTGTGCTTAGTATATTAGTCTGACAGCTGTGCAGCAGATAAATTGGAGAGGGGAGAGCCCAGAGGAAGGGGCCCAATTAGGAAGTTATTGCAAAAGAGGAGGTGAGACAAATAAGCACCTGAGCTAAGGCAGTGGCCATGAGAAGGGGCTGAATGCAGCCAGAGGTCGTGTTAGCTTGTTGGCTGCCATGCCGCATTGCATGGACCCAGATGGAGCAGGCCCTCCACTAAACGCTCCTCATTTTTTCAGCTGAGAATTCTCGGAAGCCCCACTATGTTAGAATTCATGTCTCTTTTAGCTCTTTAACAGAAGATGGGAACTGGGAAGAAATTGCTCCATGATGAGCCTTCCTCTGATATATGTATATGCTGGTCCTTTGAGACAGCCTGTCTGCTATTCAGCTTCTGTGTATATCACTTGATTACAGGGCACTTCACAGATCTCACATCCAATATCCATCTTTCCCCATAGGTCCAAAGCTGGCTCCCTAGTTACTAGATAGTGACTTCTGTTATAGTATATTTTGATACTGTGATGGTTCTCTGATATCATCAATCACTGGTATAGCTTCCAGTGAAATAGATTGCAGCCCATCCACCCTTTCATCCTGCATGACTCTTATTCATGTCTTCCACAGGGGATCCACCCTACACGGTGGGAGCCTTCTTTTAAATGTACTGATGCTGCATAGATATCAATGAAATATGTGGGCATCTCTTACTCTTTCCCTATAACTAGCCCACTTCTTTTCTTTTTTTAAATATTTTATTTTCCCCAATTACATGTAAAGGCAATTTTTAACATTTTTTTGTAAAATTTTGAATTCCAAATTTTCTCCCTCTCTTCTTCACCTCCCCCTCCCTGAGACAGTAAGCAATTTGATGCAAGTTATATATGTGTAATCATGTAAGACTTATTTCCAAATCAGTCATATATGAAAGAAGAAACAGACCAAAAGAAAAAAAAACATGAAAAAATAATGAAAGTAAAAAACAGTATGCTTTAATCTGCAGTCAGTCTCATCAAGTCTTTCTGTGGATGTGGATAGCATTTTTCATCATTGGATCATTGTATTGCTGAGAATAGCGAAGTCATTCACAGTTTATCATTGTACAATATTGCTGTTACTGTGTTCAGTGTTCTCCTGGTTCTACTCACTTCACTCAAACACTTGACACTTACTAGCTGTGTGACCCTGGGCAAGTCGCTTAACCCCAATTGCCTAAAAAAATCAAAATCAAAATTGAAAAAAAGATAAAGGAAAAGAAAAAGAAAAGTTTGGACTAGACAGATGACCTCTGAGGTGCCTTCCAACTCAGAGTCCATGGGTCTGGAACTTTATTGATTAGGGGAACCCTGAATGATGAAATTCCCCCTATAAGTACAGATCCCTACCTTCTCTACAACTTAAAATCAGAGAGCTGTCTAGAGCACTGAGATATTAAGGAATTCACCCAGGATCACACACAGTATATATCAAAAGATGGACTTGAACCCAAATCATTCTGGCTTCAAGGCCAGCCCTCTATCCGCTTATGTCTTATAGTGATAGTAGAAAGAGCATTACATTTGCCATTAGAAGAAACTTAAAAATTATCCTTAGGCAGCTAGGGAGCAAAGTGGATAGAGGGCTGGACTAGGAGTCAGGAAGGCCTGAGTTCAAATCTGATCTCAGTGTGACCCTGGCCAAGTCATTCTCTTCTTCAGTTTCCTCATCTGTAAAATGGGGATAATACTAGCACTCACTTCCCAGGGTTGTGAGGATAAAGCAAGATAATATTTGTAAAGTACTACATAAATACTAGATATTATTATCTAAATATCAGCTATAATACTTGTTGCTTTTATAATTAGCCCATAACACTATTCATTTTCACCAAGACAATGTAGGTGGCCTTGCCCTGTCCCCCTCTACTCCCAATTCCTTCCCATTCCATTTAAATCCCTGAAGAGTTTTCAGTTTTTTCCTCTATAAAAATAAGGCTTGAATATGTCTAAGTGAGAAGGATAGGGCTCTATAGGGCCGGGATGGGGATGCGTTTCTAGGGGGAGTGAGTCTCTATTCTATCCTATATTGCCAATGGGTCTGAGTTCAGCCCCTCCTGCCCCGTGTGAGTTAGTTGGCTCTCCAGGGCCTCATTATGTCTCTTGGGGCCTGACTCCACTTTGAGAGGAGAGAGGAATACACTGTTTTACTTCTCTTTGGCTCTGTGTTTGTAGCAGGACCCTGGATCCAGATTCTGTGTGTGTGTGTGTGCCACAATGCATGTATGTTTGTCTTTGTGTCTAAGACATCTCTACATATTTGACTAAATCTGTGTCCCATCCAGACCTGTTCATGCTTTGTGACCACAGCCCTGGGCACTAAATCAGGGACCACAATCTGATCATACATCTTAACTGCCATCCCCTGGTAGAGTGTAAGCTCCTTTAGGGCAAGGACTGTTTAATTTTGGTCTCTATATCCTCAGTGCCTTGCATAGTACCTGACACTTTTTTGGTTGGGTTTGAAGTGAGAGTAGGAGGGGGGGAAGGGAAAGGGATTTTATCCCTATAGGGAACTTCAGATGAAGAAATCTCTCTACCTTAATGCAGATAGCCAATTGTTCCACAACTTACCATTTGGAAAGTTTCTTGGAACACTGACTGGGAGGTTAAAGGATTTGCCTGAGGTCTCAGAGCTTGTATGTGTCAGAAGTGGGACTTGAACCGCCTCCTTGTGACTCCAAGGCTGATTCCCCACCCATTATTACTTGCTGTGCTCTCTGGCACAAAATAGACATACATACATGCACACACACGTATGTGTATGTACTTACTGAATACAATTTGCTTAAAATGTTCCTGGACCTCCCTAGAGATAGTCTTTTGGGGTTTCCTTAGGTACTTGTGTTTATGAGCAATCACTGAATAAATACCTGTTTCCTGAGTCAAGGGGGTGTGGAGAGAGACCCTGGAAGAAAAGCTGGCAGAAAGAGGACAGGGGAGCCCTGGAAAATGTGGCCAATGGAAATGCAAATGCCATGAGTCTTAAAGATTATTTTCTAGGTTGAGGGTCATGTTTGAAGGGATTTTAAAGGACAAGATGGTCACCAAGCAGATGTCATTGATATCAAGGAAAAATTGTTTTATTTTCCCTAGGGGAAACCAGAATACTTGGGCTCTACTATGGCTGCTCCCATTGTGAAGCTTGTGGACCATGAGTATGAACCACCCAGACTTTCCTACCACCCAATTTTTTGTGGCCATCTTGATGGAGGGGACCTTCTCAGTGTTTGAACTTTTGCAAGTAAGTGGTCAAATACAGGTAACTCCTCTTAGGACAACACCAAATATCAAGGTGCAGCAGGTCACTGAATGTCACACTTCACTGGAGACAGTGTCAGACAGACAAATCTCAGTGACCCACTACAATGGTATGAATCCTGGTTTTTAAACTTACTGGATATGTGATGATGCGCAAATCACTGTATCTTTTCTGAGTTTCACTTTCCTCGTCCGTAAAATGGGGACAATAATACTTTCATTCCATAACTCATGGGGTTGTTGTGAGAATAGTAACATAAATATTCATCTTTATACAAATATGTATGTATACTATAATGTACTTCAGCAGAAAAGTATTTTGCAAACATCAATGGATTATATAACACATTATGTATTAATATGTAGTGCATCTATTATTAATTAATATTCAATATGCATTTATAACACGTACACATTTATTTAGTGCATTAGTGCCTAAAAAGTACTTTCCTGAGAGTTGTTAATACATGGTAATAAAATCACACCATTCCATAAAAAATTAAAATAGAGAGTGAACCTCTGATTTCATTGGTATACAGAACTACCAGTTTCTTATACTAGTTTGGAGGTTTAATGACTTGCCCAAAATTAAACAGCCAGGATGTGTCAGGGGCAGGACCTAAATGCAAGCCTTCTTGGCTCTGAGTCAGGCTCCTATCCACTATGACATGCTGCCTATGATTTATAACACTTATCAGATGTTGCTAATTGTCTCCAGTGCTTCGGTAGGGCCAGATTCTCACTGCCATAGGCATTCTCTCCATTGGCCAGGTTCAGCCAGTCATGCCTTCTTCTCCTTTATGATTCTCATCTGTATTCTTCCATGGATTTTCCACAAAGGATCCATCTGAGCCTTCCTCTAGATCTTTTCACAATCTGTGGGTAGTAGACCAACACTCAAGCTGTCTGATAGCCCTTGGTATCACTGCAAGACTGGCCCACATTTTTTTTCTAACAATACATTTCCTTGGTGTTATCTCCTACACTTCTTTTTCTGCGTAAGTCATTGTGGGAGGTAGAGGCTGCCACTTGTCAACATCCACCATGAGTTTCTCCATTGCTATTTGGGACATCCATAACTGGGATCCCTTGGAAAATGTGAAGATCCAAAGTTTGCAATTATACAGCAACTCCAGGAGAACATTTGTGTTGAAAATATGGGTTTTATGCTAAGGAGTCTCTTGAAATTGATGAAAAGCACTGGGCAGCTTCCTAAGGAAAAGGCTACGTGGGTTGGCATAGAGGTATCAGATATGTAACCCTAACACTCCTGAGTGGCAGAACCAAATGAAAAGGTGATTGAGAAATATTTAACAAAATGAACAAATAAAAATGCAATAGAACATAAATAGTGTCAATATGTGATTTTCTAAGCCAACACATGACTGAACAAGGTTTAGTGGCCCTGTTTCTATTTGAGTTTGATTCTACTAGTGTAGTGGGTAGAATGTTCAACCTGAAGTCAAATATACATAGGCTATTAATATATGTGTACATATATATGAGCACAACATGGGTATATAGCTATATACATATATATCTATATCATACACACATATGCAACCATTTCCTGCCTCATTTGGCTTCTTAGAACATGTCATGACCATGACTCATTGACCTTGTTATGGGGGACAATCTCCTACTAACCTATTTGAAAGGTTTGATTACATGACTTAGAAAAAATTCTTCTTAGCCAAAGACCCCTAGACACCAGGGACCCTATCTTCATATGAGATCTCAATGTCCAGTGTCTTTGTGATTATTCAATAGAATTAGCTTCGAATTATTTATTACAAGATATGGACTTGGGGCAGCTAGGTGGCACAGTAGATAGAGCAACGGCCCTGGATTCAGGAGGACCTGAGTTCAAATACGGCCTCAGACACATAACACTTACTAGCTGTGTGACCCTGGGCAAGTCACTTAACCCCATTGCCTAGCCAAAAAAAAAAAAAAACACCTGATGCAGACTATAAAAATTTACAGATAAATTATCCAGTAGCTGTAAAACTTGCTTTGTGGTGTAGTGGAATGAGTACTATACTTGTAGGAAGGAAGGAAGGAAGCATTTTTAAGCACCTACTATTTTCCAGCCACTGTGCTAAGCACTATACATACACATATACATACATATATATAAATACACACATACACACATGTAGATATATATACATACACACACACACACACACACACACACATATATAAATATATATGAAATCTCATTTGTCCTAAAAACAATCCTGGGAGGTAGGTGCTATTATGATCCCTATTTTATAGTTAGGGAAGCTAAGGCAGAGAAAAGTTAAGTGACTTGCTCAGCGTCTTAGAGCTAGCACCTCCTCGTGATGTCATTGATCCTCATTGAGAATAAAGGATAAACAACAACAAAAACAACAACAGCTCGTAATGACCAATGACCAGAAACTGGAAAGATTGAAGGCAAGAGGGAAAGCAGACAGCAGAAGATGAGATGGGTAGATAGTGTCATGTAAATAACAAACATGAACTTGGTCAGGCTTCACGAGATAGTGGCGGATAGAAGGGACTGCATCCACGGGGTCATGAAGAATGGGACACAACTGAACACTGAATGACAACAACAACAACATATGCCAGGCACCGTGCTAAGTGCATTACAAATATTATCTCATTTGATCCTCAAACAATCCTGGGATATACATGCTATTATGATCCCTATTTCATAGTTGAGGAAATTGAGGCAGACAGATGTTAAGCCCGGGGTCACACAGCTAGTAAGTATGAGATTGGATAAGAACTGAAGTCTTCTTGACTCTAAGCCTAGAATTCTATCTATTGTCACTTGAAATTGCAACACCAATTGTTGGGTGATAGTATAAGAATATAAGAATTGCTACAACGGGCCAGGCCCATGCTCCATCTAGCCAAGGATTCTGTCTTTCCTGGTAGCATCAGTGAGCATGGTTGTTTTCGATGATATCAATATCAAAAGGATAGGGACTTACTTTCCAAAGAGCTCTGACATCCTTTAGTGACCCATTGTGGACTTCTCTTTCATGCATTTTGCCTTTATTGAACATATTTATAAGAGGAAAAGTAAATTTAGCGTTATGTCAGTATTTAGGGAAAACCCCTGGTTAGGAAGAGGAATTAGGGTGGTCCATAGTAGAAATAGAGGACTTATCCTTCAAAATGGGTTGGGAAGTCCAATAACTTCAGGGCTGAGACCCAGTGGGTTGAGATAAATGGGTGAATCACTTACTATTTAAAGCAAATCCATGGGGATACAGTAAAGATCAGAGTATCAAGATAATAATGATAATAATAATAATAGCTAACATTTATAAAGCACTTTAAGGTTTGCAAATCATTTTACAAATATCACATTTTATCCTCACAACAATCCAAGGAGGTAGGGGTCATTATTATTTCCATTTTACAGATGAGGAAACTGAGGCAGACACAAGCTAAATGACTTACCCAGGGTCACTTAAGCTAGTAAGGGTCTGAAGCATGATTTGACCCCAAGTCTTCCTGACTCTACGTCCAGAGTTCTACTTACTGTACCACTTAACTGCCTACTCACTAGGAAGGTTGAATACTTAATCTTAACTCAAGCCACTTCCCAGAATCTTAAATCTTTATACTCCAGAGGTCTGCACCAGATTGCCACAGGTACCTTATCTGGTCCCAGGCAGGTTAGCCTGCTTTCTGCTAAGTCAGGCACTCCCGCTGAGGCAAAGACCCATGCATCCGTCACGTGAAGTCAGAATGACCCCATTTCAGCTCCCTTTAAGCTAGGCCAAGTATACTGAGGTTTAGTGAAAGAACCTATGCTTACTTACCATTACCTTTCATGTTTTTATAGCCTGATATCTTTACCCCTCTTAACTTTTGCTGGCTCTTATTATAATGCTTCAAGGATCTGTGGTTTTGACAGAATGGATCCCCTCCCCTCCCCCCAACCTCACCCTCCACCAACATAGGTCCCAGCATCTCCACTCAGTCTTCCTAAGTTGTGGCCAAAATCACCCATCGAGACTTGATGATGAATCTGTTTACACTTGGCTCTTCTGGTCTTTGGGCACCTAGGTGATGCAGTGGATAAAGTGCTGGGCCTGGAGTCAGGAAGACCTGAGTTCAAATCCGGCCTCAAACACTTAAAAGCTGTGTGACTCTGGGCAAGTCACTTAACCCTGTTTGCCTCAGTTTTCTCATCTGTAAAATAAGCTGAAGAAGGAAATGGCAAACTACTACAGTATCTTTGCCAAGAAAACCTCAAATGGGGTCACGAAGAGTCAGACACAACTGAAACAACTCAGAAACAAGAAGGCAGAGAATCAGCAGGGAGAAAATGAGATGAAAGAATTCCCCCCTGTGTAAGGCAAGCTATCCAAAAGCTGGGGAGGCTCATCATTAGATGAATATATTAAGTAACAACATTTCGCTTACACGTTATTACCCTTCAAACACTACTTTCTTTAAAACACTAAGACATTCAGTTTTGGTGATGGTGTCATTTCTGTTTCTAAAAACAGCATAACTATGATGTATTTGAATTCAAGCCATCATTGCATCAGCACTCTTGAAAATTAATTTCTTCAAGTGGCCCCTTTCGTTAAAAATATGTCTCTCATGACAGCTATTTTCTTTTGTTTTCATTTGTGGTGTTTGAAAGTCTAAAGGCATAATTCAAATACTAGCATTGCTTTTTATAGGCTAAATAGCAAGATTCATTTTGCTACTGTAAGTTTCTTAAAGACGTTGCTGTTGTTTCAGTCTTTGGGACCCTGTTTGGGGTTTTCTTGGCAAAGATACTGGAGTGGTTCACCATTTCCTTCTCCAGCTCATTTTACAGATGAGGAAGTGAGGCAAACAAGGTTAAGTGACTTGCCCAGGGTACCCCAGCTAGTGTCTGAGGCCAATGTGAACTCAGGTCTTCCTGACTCCAGACCTGGCACTGTGTCCATTGCACCACCCAGCTGCCTCATGTCTTAAAGG